ACGTCGGCCCGGAACGCTTCAGCCCAAGACGCGTCGCTCGCGTCGCCATCCAGCAGATACGTCGGCATGGACACGAGTGCCGGGTTGCGGGCATGCTCAGGCCATGCTGCCTCGACCTCGTGCGCACGCTGCTGCTGCGTGGCCAGGTCGTCGTAGGTTTCTTTGCACACGTGTGCCTTGAACGCCAGATATCGCTGCACCATCGGCGCGCTGGCTTCCTTCTCCAGCCGGTTCCAGATTTCGTGCAAGGGCGTGACTTGGTGAAGATTCTCCACGAAGACTTGCATGTGCGCGTGCAAGCCGCCGGCTTTCTGGTGTTCCAGCGCCGCATACACCGCTGTCACTCGCCCAAAAATTCCAAGGCGCAAGGATGCGACGCTGCCGTCTTCGGACATGCAGTTGCATCGCGGGCAGTTCTTGCAGATGTTGATGCCAAACAAGTGTCGCAGACACAGCCGCAGTTGCAAGTGAAAGGCCTCCACCACTGACAGCGGGTCCGCCGCCGCCAGGTGACGCCGTGCTTCAAAGGCAGGGAGCAAGCCTGCCGTTGCCTCTGTCACAGCTGTGCCCAGCACGGGCTGGCGTTCTCCGCCCCACTGCCGCGCGTCCTCGTCCGCTTCCACGACAGGGTCGCTCTTTCGACAACGAAACAGTCGCACACTCAGCAAGTTGTCCCGCTCGTTCGGACTGATTGTTACGAAGATTGGCTCCCCGTAAATGATCCGGTACGCGTGCGTCTCGTGTCGCATGAGCTTCCTCACCTCGACGGTGCCTGGAATCTTCGCTGATACGTGCTGCACGTTTTGCAGCAGAATGCGCGCGGCGCGAGGTAGCTCCGGCACCATGTGCAGCTTCGATACGTCCCCAGCGACCGGCTGCAACGGCGCGTCCGGCCCTGCACGGTACTGACCATGCAAGGCCTTGCACAGTGCGACGGCGCCCTCTGTCAGCTCCTCACTTGTGAGACTGGGCAGCCCACGAGGCACGTACGCAACCAGTCCACGGCTCGAGTTCACTTGCACGCGAAAACTGTAGTTCCACAGCGCAAACAGTAGCAGCCAGTCGCGCGCAAATTGGCTTTCTGCGCGTCGACTCACAGCGCGAGCCCAGCGCGGGAAGTCGATGATTGGCGCCGACGCTTCCCGCCTGTACCGCGTCGTTGTACCGTGATGCACCAAGTCGGGCAAGCCTATGCAGTAACTGAAGCAAAACGCAAACGCGACACCGAAATACAGCGGCTTGAACTGATCGACCAGCTGTGACCCCGCGGTTATAGTCACCGCTGCAGCGGGCGGCTCTGTCCCCCATCGAAGCTGCGTGTCAAAATGTCGCCAGGCCGCAATGTCCTGCGCGACGGCATCCTCCTCCAACGCGCTGCTGTTTTCAAGCAACACTGCGTGGGGGCGCACATCTGCCAGCTGCCGCGCCGCGTCTTCCGCTTCCAGGTGACACCCATCGGCGGGCGTTGCCGCTTTCTGCGGACGCAGGCGACTGATGTTCCGATCCGGGTCCAGCAGCCGCACGATTTCTGGAGGCACCCCATCCTCCGGCAGACCTGCAGCCCGAGTCATGGCCGCTTCCAAGTCCACGTTTGCATACGCAGTGTGCTTCCGCGCCACAGCTCCACGGATCAAGGCCAGCACAACGGCCCGCCGAACCCGTGCCTGATGCAAGAATCTCCCTGCGTCCGCCTCCCCTAGCCCACCACCTGTCCGCAGTAAGACTTGCACCGTCTCCGCGAGCTCCACGCCAGTCCTCGGCAGCGCTACACTGTTGCCAGCTTCCATGCTCCCGAGCTGCGCTAAGAGGTCGAGCCAGGGCAGTGGATACGACGTCACATTGCCGCGCGCCCCGAGCCGGTGGCGAGGCATGTACGCCGTTGCGTCGTAGACGCTGCTTGCACGGTGGTACTCTAGGGAGAAACAAAACATGCCGGTGAGGCACGGCGAGGCCGCAATCAGTTCGCACACCGTGGCCGCCTGGGTGTAGATCTCCACAGGCAAGTACCCCGTCCACAGGTCGTTGGACAACGCTGCAGCTGGAAGCGAGCCCCTCGACGCGCGCCAGTCTTGGACACACACAGAGCAAATCGGGATGCTGCACGCCGGGCAGAGCTCTCCCGCACCCATCCGCACATCGTGCGCTGCGCAATCTACATCCTCCGGACAGCACAACAGAAGCGTGCCCTCGAACCCTCTGAGCCACTCACGGAAAGCAGCCTCGTTGCCGCGCAAGTCCGGCCCGCTCGGCCAAAGATTGCCATACTTCTCCATGTACGTCGTGAACGAGAGCAGTTCCAGCAAACCGCGCATGTCCGCCGCGCGGTACCGCTGGATGTCCTGATCCGCCTCCTCTTCCACGCCCGCAAATCGGCACGCGCACACAAAGCACATGAGCGTCCGGGCCGTGCGCACTTGATCGCAGTAGCTGCGCAAGCAGGCGCGATCCTGGCTTGCGCTCGCCTGTGGGGGCGACCTGCGCGCCAGCTCCTGCAGGCACAGCCGGTACACCGCCAGGTGCGCCTCGCTGCTGACCCCCTTCAAGCGCGACCGAGCCGCAACAGCCGCCGCCAAGTCGCCCGCATGCACTTCCCGCAGGTGCGCATCCAGCACGTCCGCCGTGGCACATGTGCACTCACACCCGCGAAACGCGCAAACGATGCGCCCGCGGTGCCTGCCCGCAAATTCCGACATGGAGATCATCCTCCCAGCGACGGTGTGCTCCACAGCTTCCTCCAGCGCCTGCCTTTGGTCTCCACTGTCCCTGCGCACGCCCATGAGTGCCAGGCTGACGACCGCCTCGTCCTCTCCTGCTTCGCCTCCTGCAGCTTCTTTGTGCTCGAACGTAGGGGCCGCCTCCTCCGCGACATCCAGCTCTGCACTGACTCTGCCTTCAAAGAGCGGGTCATAGTGCCACCCGTTGCCGTCTGCATCCGTGCGACTGAACAAACTTAGCCGGAGCTTCTCTGCAGGCTGTCCAGCACCTGCCAACAGGACTCGGTCTGGGCACCGGTGTACGGCGTCCCCCGCTGCATACACCGTGAGCTCTATGTCCGGCCACTCCACCTTGCCACAGTCCGCCATGATGCTCCGCAGCACGGGCTCTGCGTGCAGATGATGCTGCAGGTACGCACACTCGTGCTCCGCTGCAGTCGCGCCACTGTCCCGCACGCCGCACGCATCCAGCCGCTGTGGGCGCAGCCTGACGTCCGCCTGCGCCACCAGTCTCGCTCGTGCCGCCGCACACATTGCTTGCCGCGTCTCCGCGCAAAGCAGTACTTCTTCTGGAAGCACATCAGCTGCAGCTAGACATTGCAGCATGCTGTCCACAAGGCAATTGTTCTCCCCGTGCGAGGACCCTTCCCCAACCTCGAGCCCTAGCGCGTGTAGCTCTGCCAGCACGTCCGCGTCCATGTTCCATCCCAGGGACATCTTTGAAGGGGCTGCACCCTTCCTCACGCCGCCGGGCTTGAGCTAACGTGCCCCGGATGCAAATTCCTTGTCAGACATGTTTCAACAACAGCTACCCTCCTCGCATTCTGCTCTTGCCGCCCCCACCCTACCTCCCCACTTTCTGCCGAGCAAGCGTCAACCTGCAAGTTCAGAGACTGCACCGGCTTGCTACAAGGCTAAAAAAAAACAGGAAAAAAAACTGCACGTCGCAACTGTACACAAGCAGCCCAGCTTGCATCCGCGCTGCCCCTTGGCGCCGTGTCCAGGCGGCTCTCCACACGAGCCCAGGCTGCCTCAAGGTCCGCGAACGATGGAATGGACTCTGGACAGACGCAGTGCGACGCAGCTTCAGATCGCGTGAGCGCTCCTGCTGAGCCCTTGGTCAGCACAGTCCAACTCCTCCTCGCTGACTCCAAGCTGTTGCACATGTCTCTGATTTTCGCTAGCAGGTCATCCCAGACAGCCCTGACTTGTGCGCGGCGGCTGTCCTGTCTCTCCTTGCAAGGTCCTGTTCGGAGCTTTTTCTCCTTCGCTGCAGCCTCGACGCGTTGGAGCGAAGAGCAAGCGCAAGCCCCCCTTGTCCAGACTGACATACCTGCACGGATCGACCCGTGCGGCCGCTCGCGCGAGCCGCGCGACTAACTTGGCGCATCGCACACCCGGCGCCGACGCCGTGAACATGGCCGCAGATGCAAGAAACACTTGGCGCGCACGTCCTGCTTCGGTCCGGGCCGTGGCCACGGACACGAAACCCGCTCTGCGTGCCTCCGGAGCAGCTACGGAGCCTTGCGCGCTTGCTCCGGGCCGTGGCCGCGGACGCAAGGATCCCTTGGCGCGCACGTCCTGCTTCGGTCCGGGCCGTGGCCACAGACACACAACCCGCGCCGCGTGCCTCCCGAGCAGCTACGGAGCCTTGCGCGCTTGCTCCGGGCCGTGGCCGCGGACGCAAGAATCCCTTACGTCCTGCTTCGGTCCGGGCCGTGGCCACAGACACGAAACCCGCGCCGCGTGCCTCCCGAGCAGCTACGGAACCTGGCGCGCTTGCTCCGGGCCGTGGCCGCAGATGCAAGAATCCCTTGGCGCGCTTCGGTCCGGGCCGTGGCCACAGACACGAAGCCCGCTGTGCGTGCCTCCCGAGCAGCTATGCCTGGCGCGCTTGGCCGTGCCCGCTGCTGCAAGATTTGTTTGGCGCGCTCGTCCTGTTGGTCCCGGCCGTGGCCGGCTCCGGGCTGTGGCCGCGGACGCAAGCTATACCCCGGGCCGTGGCCACAGGTGCTCCGATCGTACGCCAAGGCTGACCCATGCATGCCCTTCGTGCCACGTAACTGTTGTGGCAATACCTGAAAAGCAGGGAACCAACTTTTCATGGTCCACGAACTTTCTGCGTCGAACAGGTCAATGTCGGCGGACTGAGCCGGAGGCTCTAAAGTATGTTGTTTCTCTGCCGCTCAATCAGTCGACAGGGGAATCAGATTGATCAAATGGCCAAACTTATCATCATGAATAGCCATCAATGGGATTCCGGCTCTCATTGCAGCCAAGGCAAGCCTTGGTCGTCACATCTTCGGGGGAGGGATCTCGTCCTCCACCAAAGAACTGCCGCGGGACACCGGAGATGCGCCTCTGGGCCCGCAGCCTGGAGCACGATCGAAGTCCAATGCGCCCAACATGAGATTCGACGTCAAAACATCAGGGATCGAATTGGGTCTTGGCACTCAAGATTATTCCCCAATATGTGCTGCCGTATTCCTGAGAGGCATACCCAGCAGCTGCAACCATGCACACGCCGGCCTTTGACAGCGAAGAGGTTGAAGGAAGTAGCTGCTAGCTTCACAACTTTGCCCTTTGGTTTCTCTGACATCGGTCATCAATTCAATCTGCACAATTCATCTTAGACTGAGCGCAAATCAACTGCTGCAGCTGAGGCAAAGCCGGTGTTTGTCTGCCTTGGGCGGTGCGTAGCTTCAAGCTTTCTCGCGACACAATTCGCATGCCTGAGCATGTTCCAACCTCCCTTCACCATCGAAATGCGCAGGCATTGAACTGCTACCCCCTCATTGCAGTTGGCAGTGGCTTAAAATCAACAAGATGTTCCCCCGCAACGCAGCCAAACCTCCCCTGTCCAAAGCCCCACACTCAGGCGCAGAGGAGGAGGCAGATGAGCGGAGGCTCGGCGCGACAGCCACCTGCGCGGCATCTTGCTTATCCCGTGAATAAGGCCGTGGTAAAGTGGGCAAGAAGCACTGGATGTCGCTTTCTGCATCGGCTGTGAATCCAAGAGTGCCAATGGCGGGCATTGATGATGCCAGCCAAGACTACAGGGTCAAGAATCTAAACTCAGCGAGGCACTTCCGTTTGTTGTTTCGAACTTGAAGCAATCATCAGTCAGGAATGGAGTTAAGTACTCTTCAAGCCTCCCAACAGCCAGCGCTCTACGTACAGTCCATGCTCCAATGTGTCACTGCTCATCCCGGCCGTGGCTTTCTCCATGGCCACAAAGGCTTGGCGACCCCACAGGGCCACCGCACCTCCAAACCACAAAGGCAACGCTATTCGCTCAGCAACATTTGGATCCCAGCCTAGGAGTACCGCTGCCAGTGCCCTGCAAACCAATGAATGCATTGCACCAAAGGACTTTCAAAGCCAGACTTGTGTCAACTCTTCTGTGCCGCTGACTGAGACTTCACATGTTGCTCACAGAACTTCCATTGTGTCAATCTTGCCTACTCTGCACAGCCATGCTTGTTGCCGATGCCTCGGTCATGCGACATCATTGGGCATGTGACACAAGGATCGGTCCATTGCAAAGCACTGCCTGTACCAAGCTTCTGGCCGCGGCCTGCAGACTGAAAACAAAACTGTGAGCCAAGACTACGCAGGAGACATCCAGGCTCAATGTGCGCACAACTGTCTTCTGAGACATAGAAATTCGGAGAAAAAAACAACTCACAAAGAAAAACCCACACATACAGAACAACACACACACACACAGAACTCTCTCCTTCTCTCTCTCTCTCTCTCTCTCTTTTTGAGCTCACAACCCGGTGAGTTCAAATAGATTTAAATTGCAGCTGGGAGTTGCCGAGGCTAAGGCGGAAACGTATGTTTGCATTGTTCTGTGTCTGATGGTCATGACAAATACACAAGAGTTAATTGTGTCAACATCTTCTCAGCCTGAATCAATCTTCTCAGCCTCAAGCAACCCGTACTGCACCAAACATATTGCTTAAGCAAGTAAGCGAATTGCTGCAACATTTGTACAAACAGGCCGTGCAAGTCAATTAAAGGCAAACGTCCCAAAGCCAACATGAACCAAAGCGCATAGCGCCTTTCAAGGATCGTGGCCGCATGTCTCTGGTCATCATGACAAATTATGATGGCACTACAAGCCATGCCTCTTTCATTTGGTCTCATGGTTCAACCTCCGTTCATTCAGGAAGGTCAGGCCACGAGAATCGCGTCTCAAATAGCAAACAGTCCAAATGCTATCCGAGCAATGAGCCGCAGACCCTTTTGAGAGCCCCAAGATATAGGCTTGTTGTGCGCGTGTGTGATCATTTCAAGATCCTGCACATGGGTCACACATCCCCCCATGTCATAGGCTGCGCGGGCACCTCCAAAGCGCAAGACCTACGAATCTTAGCGGACCTTTAGCAAGTTCTCTATACTATTCATATTCTTCACAGCGATGCTGGCCTCCGGTGATGAGTGCAAGCTCCGCACTACCTGCATTCAAGTGCCACAAACTACAGCACTACACGTCACTCATTCAAGGTTTCCTTGCAAAACCGGACTGATTGCTCGCCTCATCTTCGCTCTCTGCACTGCTCACTTCAAAGGCCTGCATCTTTTCGCAATGACCGGCTTGCACATTAGCGACTTGATTGCTCTGCTTTGTACGTCAACTTGATGCACGAAGTTCTGAAGTCAGTCACCTCGAAAGGTCCTGCACCAAGGCTACTTTGCTCTCCTGGGCTTGCTGCGATTGCCCGCAACTATACTGCGCTGAAGCAGTGTAAGCTGTCATGACCCGCCCTATATCCGCCGACATTGCTCGGCGTGTCGGATACCCAAGAGAGGACTATTGGATACCTGAGAGAGGATAGAGGATAACCCCCCCCTTAGTCCCCCCCCGGGACACGTCAAATACGCATGGTTTTTCGGTCGCCACCCCCCCCCCCCCTCCCCCTCGTACCGCGCGGCAATTTGATGACGTTCCACTAAACGTAGTCTTCGGGGAGCCGGTGTCGCAAAACAGGGGTCCCAGGCTCGATTCCCCCTGCCGGCTTTTTTGCTGGCTTGGGCTTCCTACATCCTTTTGCCAAAAATCTGGACAAACTCCATGTTTTTGGACGTCTTTCATACATTCATCCATTGCATTCATTTCATACATTACATTCATTACATTCCTTACATACATTACATACATACATACATACATACATACATACATACATACATACATACATACATACATACATACATACATACATACATACATACATACATACATACATACATACATACATACATACATTACATACATACATACATACATACATACATTGCATCATATTACATTACATACATACATACATACATACATACATACATACATACATACATACATACATACATTACATACATTACATTACATACATACATACATACATACATACATACATACATACATACATTACATACATACATACATACATACATACATACATACATACATACATACATACATACATACATACATACATACATTACATACATACATACATACATACATTACATACATTACATACATACATAGATTACATACATACATACATACATACATACATACATACATACATACATACATACATACATACATACATACATATTACATTACATTACATTACGTTACGTTACGTTACGTTACGTTACGTTACGTTACGTTACGTTACGTCGTTATGTTACGTTACATTACATTACATTACACACATACATACATACATTACATAAATACACACATACACACATACATACATACATACATACATACATACATACAGACAGACAGACAGACAGACAGACAGACGGACGGACAGACAGACAGACAGACAGACAGACAGACAGACAGACAGACAGACAGACAGACAGACAGACAGACAGACAGACAGACAGACAGACAGACAGACATACATACACATATATATATATATATGCATACATACATACCAGAGAGGGAGATTGGGCATAGAGAGGCTTGGGGGGATGGGGAGGATGGGGAGCAGAGGGAGGGAGAGAGGACGACAGAACACACAAGGGAGACAAGGGGGAGAGGCAGAAGGAAAAAAGGGAGAGGACAATGTCGGCGGACTGAGCCGGAGGCTGTAAAGTATAGTAGGGTAAAGAACACCGTTCTTCTTCAATGCAGAACGCCATGCCGGGGATTCCGAGTCACACACAACGGGAACAACACAGGGAAGCGAAGGCTCCAAATCGTCCAAGGCACTAGGCAATTCCTCGCTGGGTTGCTCTTTCCTGCAGGCGCATGCAGTATCCAGCACCAAACATATTGAAAAGACTATCTGCCGGAAAGTCCTGTCCGCGGAGTTGGGAGTGTCCATGGCGGGCTTCTCCTCCATCACTGATGGCAGCAGCATGTATTAGTCATTACCACATCCGCAAAGTCATGACGCCACTAGTTGTCGCTACCGCTATCTTGAGGTTCACTTCAAACTTGCAGCATGACATGACACCCAGCCTGAGTTGTCCTCTTTTGAAAGAGGACCTCCTTGTCTCTTACCTTTAGCCAAGTGCTCCGTTGAGATCTGCTTGTCATATGTTGTCCATCTCAACTTGAAAACGCACTTGCTGGCGCTTTGAGCAGCTTGGCGATCATACCGATGCTGGTGCCTGTGGGCACTTAATATCTGTTCAAGTAGGCTCCCCACCCATTGAAGCAGCTCGCGAACTGCCTGCACAATCTGCACACAACCTGTCAACTTGTTCCTCCCGAATCAGCAAGCAGGAAGCCGCGTCAAATCCATGAAAATAGAATTGGTTGGCGGTAGCCGCCCATGTCTTTGTGTGACGGCGTGCCTTCTGCCTGTCTTTGGCCACGCTTCCGAACTCCGACTTCTTGACCTCAGCTGTGGTTTGTCCGGGTGTGTTGGCATGCCTTCTGCATCTTCACTCTGTGAGGCTTGGAGACTGGTGTCTAACAAGGAGAGGAAGTTATGACCGTCGAGTGAGACATGTAATTCAGAAGCACTCAGGACATCTCAGGACCCGTAAGCAGGCTGCCAGGTCCTTGAGCCTCGTCTGCCCCGACTTGTGGCCTTGGAACCAACTCTTGACTGGTGCCCTCGCAAAATGCATCAACGCCCGCCAAAGACGGTGGCGGCAAGAGCAGTATGGGATGAGTTCAGCATAATGAAACGCATGTCATGTGTGGATATGTATACGTATATAGTACATTTAATATGTTTGGAGTCATGCATGTACAACAAGCACTGCCTCATTGCACGACTTTGGCACGATGCGAGAGATGTACCAATGGCTGCGAAAGCCTTCTACATTCAGCCGAAGAGCGACCGTGGCGTTGCTCCAGGCAGCCGCCCTGGCAGCAAGCGGCTGCAAATAGAAACAGGTGTTGAGCAGTCTGGTCAAACATCCAGCGTTTGCAAAACTTGTTTGGTTCTTGAATTCAGCAATGAAGCTCATCTGCCATTCTTGGGATAACACGATCAGGGGTTAGAAGGATTCCCAAAAGGTGTCCAAACTCACTGTGACGACCGGTGAAAATGCTGGTAACTCTTTAAATAGTTAAATGACTCGATACTACATCTTTCGTGAATATCCCTATGTGGAGAGAGAGGTGTATGCAGCAGCATTGAGAGCGCATACCAGAACGTATTGGAGTCTCAAACGGTTTAAATCATGTTCGCCTGCTTGAGTCAGTGTCCGAAAGTGTTCCTCCGGGCTACAATTGACAATGTATCCCAGTGGCCACAACTAGATAGCTGGCCTTCTTTGCATGGACAGCCCGGAAGCCATAGCATTGACCTACAGCTTGGACATGCTTGTTGGTCCCTGTTCTTTCAAACCTAGGCCCTGGCACTTCAGCGTGCGACCGCCCTTGCTCAGCACGTCATGGTTCAAGCAAATGTCCTCACCATTGTCCCTTGTCCGAGCAATAAGGCAAAGCAAGCCACAATGTGACAAGTGCTTAAGCATGTCCTCATACATCCGCAGCTGCGGCATGTATTCGATGCCAAGACGCCAAAGCTCAGGCAAGTCCAGGAGAACAATCTGCCGGCCGAGGCAACTATCAATCACTTGCAAGCGTGCTTGCTGAAACTCCCTCAATTTCTCATTCTCTGACAACCTTGTACAAAGCCATCTCATCGAGCTTCCAATCATTACCTGCCACCAAGGTAACTCTGGCAGACAAGGATTCACTACAAGCTCCTTCTGCTCAGCTCAACATGGTAAGTAAGGGTCTGGGCATCTGGCGCTTGCAAACAGCCGTGCCGTCATCTCGCAGAAATCCAGCAACAGCGGCCCTGCACGTCAGCGCACGTTGTTTTTTCCCGCTATAGTTCAGAGTTGTCTCCCATTCCAAAAATGTTTATTGCTACAATGGCACAGTGTCACTGGCACCAATGTGACACTGACAGCTGTTCTGAAGATGTCACTCAGGCTGTCTAGACGCTGAGCTTGGTATACAAGCTATGCATGATTGGTTCGCACATATCCGAACGGCCATCACCAAAAATATGCATGGTTGCCATGGTGTCAGCACAAGCCAAAACTGGCAATGACCATCTCACACCATCTCATGCTCGTACGTGCTCGCCTCGTGCTGAATGGATGC